TGCCAACAAAAGTTGTTTCGGGAACGATTACTCAGGAATAAGGTTTCTAAACAAGATCTCTCTGTTCTTAAAGTTTGGAGAAAAATGTTTCGCTGGAACAATCTTGATTCTGTTGTCTGTAAGTTTGTAGTATAAGGGGGAAAGAAAAACAAGTGAAAACAGGTGAGTCTGGTCAAAACTGAAAGCAGACGATTCCTGAGAAGATGATACCAGACACTCTGTTAACTGAACTTGTACGTAGACTAGTTCGGGCCGGTACTTAAAGAGGGAGCAATGGAGAATTCAGTATTGCAATAATGAGATAATGTTGAAGAGTATTAGAATATATCAGGAATTCCATAGACGACAGTCTTGAATGGGTGCTATTAAAGATTAAGGGTTTGGGCTTTATGCTATTTCGTTGTATACCCAATGATATGGAATTGTAGTTGAGTAAGTAGTCTGTTTCTGGATTTGCACAGGAACTATGTGGAAAAGGTGGTGTTCTGTTTCTGGCTCAAGCCATCTTGAAGCTAAATGCCGTGCCTCAGTTTGCGACATCTGCAAGAGTTCTGGCTGCTGTATCTAGGCTCAAAGCTAAAATACTTTCAATGGTGAGTCTTAGTTATGAAAATCTGTCTTTAAATATTCTCAGGACTTTTATTCTGCTTTAAAATCTAGGACAGCTTATTATTGAATGTATACCCATGTGCAAAATCCTAACTAAACCAGTCACTGCTATCCTTGTTGCAGCTATTGAGCCTTAGTGAAGCAGAAAGTATGTCTTACCTGGATGAAGTTTCCAGCTCGCCAGCAAGCTTGGATTTGGCAAAGTCTGTTGTATTGGAGGTTAGTGTTTGTTCCATCTTATGAATTCTCAGGAATGTTGATTTTGATCAGCCAGAACATTTTTTTAATTTTCTAGCTGCTTGCTGTTAATTGAGTAGTTTTGATGCAGGTTCTTGAGGTAATGAAGACTGCTTTTGGAAAAGACCCCAGATCTTTTGCTGCATTTCCTGATAGAAGTTACCCGGTGGGGCTTTTGCAACTCAATGCAATGCGCCTAGCCGATATATTTTCCGATGATTCAAATTTCCGATCCTACATGACACATTACTTTGTAAGCTATAATCATCTCTCTCTCGTCTGGGTTTACTTTTGTTATCCTCTTACACAATAATGCTTTGCTTCTATTTATTTATTTTTCACTCTTATTGTACCATCATTGTGCTTTGGTATTCTCTAACATTTGGAGAAGCTAAAATTTCTTATGTCATTACAAACCATTGCATTATCCGCATAATTTTGATACATCTAGTGTGCTTGCATCATACGTTTGTATTTTTCTGAGGAACCTCGCATCGTGCATTTGTATAAAATAGCTTCTAATCAATGAAAATTTGTTTTACTATGCCTTTTGTATGTCCCTCCAGACTAAAGTGATCACTGCAATATTTTTGCTCCCACATGGAGATTTTGTATCCTGTTGGTGTTCTTCTGAACTCCCTTTGAAGGAAGAAGATGGCAGTATTGAGTATGACTCATTTGCAACAGCTGGATGGGTTTTGGATGTATCCTCATCAGTTGACCAACTAAATGCAACAAGTTTAGAATTTCCTGTTACTCCCAGTATTGTGACCCAGGCTTCTTATTCACATCAGAGAACAGCCTTATTTGTGAAAATAATTGCAAATCTCCATTGTTTCATTCCCACCGTCTGTGAAGGTGGTTCTTGATTTTGTAATTCTTTATAATCACCTCAACTGGTACATGTCATTGTTTTGTTGTCATACTAATGGAGTTCTCTATTTTAATTTACAGAACAGGAGAGGAACCACTTTGTTAACAAATTTCTGGAGTACTTGCAAATGGATTTATTGAACACATTGCCCGGATTTTCCCTTGCTTCTGATACTCCTAAAGCTGCAACTATTTGCAGAAATCTACGTAATAATGATCCCTGAATAATCTTTCTGTAAAACATAATTGCAGAAGTAAATCCCTTCCTTACAAGTAAATTCTGTGTGTAGGTTCGTTGCTAAGTCATGCCGAATCATTAATTCCCAATTTTTTGAATGAGGAGGACGTACAGCTCCTAAGGTGATTTACTCTCAACCGTGTTTCATTTTCGTAGCCTTTTAATCCATTATTAATGCTAGAATTTGACCTCACCCTGTTAAGATCGTCTTCGCACACAGTGCTGGCAATGGTCTTGTAGTTGTATAATGGGCTTTACCTGGAATCTACTTGATAGATGTTACAATGATTAAATAGAGATTAGTATATGCTTTATCTATCACTTTTATAATTCAGTACACTAGTTATGTAGTATCGCTTATTTTTATTCATACTTACATGTTAGGGTTTTCTCTAAGCAATTACAATCGTTAATCACTTCGGCTGAATCTGAAGAAACCCGAGTTCAGGTAAAACTTTTATTTTCTAGAAATTGTTCCTATTCGCTTTACCCCTTACATATGTTTGAATGTTTCCAAACAATGATGCTGGCAGGCAAAGAAACACGAGGAGTCAATGTATAGAGATAAATTCGCTAAACTCAACATCAGTGATCATCAGGTAGGTGGCCTGAAAATGCTGGTAGTTATACTTGCATTGTGTGGCCACATTCTTCAATTTTTACTTCAGTATGCTCCACGAGCACAATTAAAATTTAACAAGAGACACGTAGCACTGGGGAGACAAACGGATTATTATCTTTAAAATAGGCATTAATAGTCACTGTTACATGCTTTATTCAATATTTTAAGAGAAATATATTGGCCAGTGGAGTTTGCTAACAGTGATGTAGTTATTTCTCAACATAGTGACCTGAAAGTAAAGTTTGATTCCTGGTAGGAGGCTCAGAGTACTGGAGGATGCTCGCCGCCATTATTGAGTAAACAACCTTCTAATCTTAATAACAGAAGTGCTAACCTAGAGGAAATGTCTGAGAATTCTGATTTTCAAGATGCGGACCAAGTTGATGTCAAGGAAGACAAAGGTTTATCCGGGAATGCATCTGGACGTTTTAGGGTGTATGAAAGAGAAGCTCATAATGTTGAAACGAGTGGTTCAGACACAAGCTCAACAAGAGGAAAAAATGCTGTTGATCAGATGGAAAACAGTGAATTTCCAAAGTCGAGTGCACACGTGAAGGAAAGTGGATATGGGGGAACCCCAGACGATGAAAAGGTTGAAACTCTTCCGTCTGAGGAAAAGCAGCGGAGAAAACGGAAACGAACAATAATGAATGATATGCAGGTGGAACTTGTTGAGAGAGCCCTATTGGATGAACCTGATATGCAGCGAAATGCAGCCTCAGTACAATCATGGGCTGAGAAATTAAGTTTTCATGTAAGTCGATACTTCAAACTTTATAAATAACGCATGATGTATTTATTCACTATATATCAACAACAATACCAAACTTCATGTGACGAAGAAATGTACTATTGTGTTATCCAGGGTTCCGAGGTTACATGCGCACAGCTAAAAAATTGGTAAGCCATCCTCAATTTTGATGAATTTGTTTTCCCCACGGCATTGCTTAAAACTACTTTTAGTATCCTAATGCTGTTAATATTTTGATGGGTTTGCTTGTTATGAAAACAATCATTGTTTTGTGTCCGCAGGTTAAACAATCGAAAAGCCAGGCTAGCCCGCACAGCTAAGGATGTTCGTGCGACACCAGAGGCTGACAATGCTTTGCCAGAAAGGCAAGCTGGGCGAGGACAAAGGTCCAATGTCTCCCCCGATAGTCCTGGTGGAGATGCTTCCACCCAACAAAATGCGAGGAGAGATCCTCAAATCATGTTGAGACCTGGTATTGGAGAGGTAGCCGAGAATAACGTGGCAGAAACAGTTGGCAGTTCTGCAGATTTTGCACAGTGCAAGCAAGGTGACTCTGTTGTGCTGGTAGGTGCGAATGGAGAGCAGATCGGAATAGGAAAGGTGTTTCAGGTGCGCGGCCAATGGTACGGTAGGAACTTGGAAGAGGTGAGGGCGTATGTCGTGGATGTTAAAGACCTTAAAGCTAGAAGATCAACGAGGCTTCCGCACCCGTCTATGGCCACCGGCGTTTCATTTGAGGAGGCAGAGACAAAGATTGGCGTGATGAGAGTGTTGTGGGATTCGAACATGACCTTCTTATATCGTCCTCAATGAGTTATGTGCAAGTGAAAGGTTAAATCCCCTCGGCCTCAGTAGAACTAGAAGTCCCCTCTCTTAACTGCAAACATGTTATCGTACCTTCTTGTAATTAGATTTCGAAATTTTCTAGCTTTGAAAAAGTTTTAATTTAGAAATAAACGCTTCAAACTCAATAGTTTAGAAATAAACCAAAATGTCTTGAATCTTGATAACGGGGGATGTATTTCACAACGAAGAATTAATTAGAGCATGACAAGCATGTTGAGCAACGTCTGAACATCTGAACCGTTCGAACAAGGGTATACAACTCCCTTTCCGTTCGAGCAGTTGAAATAAATTCCAGTGATTTTTATCTCTACACGGGTTTAAATAAAATTTCCCTTACAAGTCTCATGAGATTTAAGCCAAGTTAGTAAGAAATATGCTACAAAACGCAGATAGCGGGGATTAGAAACTCCCTCCGTATACATTATTGCAAAGGCACGTGCGAGAAATTTGCAAACCCCACTATTTGAAAAGAGTCATTTACAAATCTTTCACATAACCATGTAATGCTCTAGAAGGGCTTTCCCAAATCCTAATCCCCTTTATCTAACTTTTTATGGACCATTCCTTGCTACTTAACTTCAATTCCCTTAAAATTATAAAATCCGTTATCCAAACAGACTTGCAAAACATAAAGAATGGTCCTTTGCGCAAATTAAATATGCGTTTGTTTGTTGCCCGGGGATGATTTGGTTTCACAACACATAGAGCCATGCCAACCGAACATCGAGCAATCGAAAACCGCAACGAAATAAGAACAAGCAAGCAAACTGGGACATCAACTCTACCGAGATTCCCATTAGAAATTTGCATCAGAAAACCCAAAGTGTCCCCTATTTCATAAGTTTATTTAAGATAATTTGGCAATGCCCTTTTGACCTCTCAGGCATGCATGCACAAGCAATATCACCACCTAAAATCACTACCCAAATTCACTCCCAAATAGCTCTCCTGTCTGTCAACACCAAAGTCAGCTTTACAGGTTCAAGCTATCTCCCTTTTTAGAGTACTCAAATATTTGGCAGAAGCATAATTTTAAGCAATTTGAGCCGACTAAATGCGCCATATTTCACTTCCGCACAAAGACAATCCCTACTTCCGTCCTTTCTCTTTTTTACCCCTTTTCAGTCTTTTTTTTTTTTTTTTTTTTTTTTTTTAATACAGAAGAATTTTTGAAAAAGCACATAGGATAAGATCTCGAAAGATCAGGAATTTCTTTCTTACTTTCGATTATGCAGAAGCCCACTCGAAGTAATGGCAACGGGAGCCTCTGGTGGCGGTCCAGTTTCCGCAGCCAAAGAAGAAGCTCCCTTGCTTTGGCCCTGGCTTGCGGACCATACCTCTGCTGCTCTTCACCCCACAGAAACATAATGGGTGATGATAATGGAATACGGGAACACCCATCTCCTTCAGTTTTAGAGGGTGGTGTGGTGGTGACATGTGCTCGGGGGATTGCTTCATTGTCATAGGACGGTCAGCAGTCTGCCAGACCAGTGAGTTTGTGATTGCAAATTTGAAACCCCTGCACATGAGAAGAGAAAGTAGGCGAGCGGTGTTTTTGGCATCATCCAGGCCACAGTGAGGACGACCCTGCCATGCCAAGCCTGCCATTTGAACTGCGTCCTTCAAGTTGCACCTAGCACCACCGAAAACCTCACAGAAAGGGACCTTTAAGTTGATCCATCTATCAAGAGAAAATCAACACGCAAACATGAGACCATATTCTGATGTGTTTTCCGTACATATTAAACTCATAATAAAAATTATTTAAAACGTATTCTTATATTCACTACATTGGAGTTGAACAATAGTTTCTTTTATCTGCATTTCTTACCGGTTAAAATACGGAGGCTTTCGAATTTTCTTGAATCGACATTCGGATTCCAACATGACCCGACAGTCCCAGTTTGACCATGTCACAACAGCAAAGTTGGTGTTTTTTATTCCCTTCTTCTCAAGCCATTTGTCATGCCTTAGGAGGGCCTCGCTTAAGGTAACTCCTCTATCCACCTGCCAATACCCAATACCCATATTCATCATCAGTAAATTTTGAGGATCATAGTAAAGGAAGAAGGGAAACACTAATAACACAATTTTATGAAATAAAGTTGCAAATTCCCTTCCATCACATACAGTACTCTAAGAATGTGGTGAGCTCTGGAGACTTAGATGATTCTAAATAAGTACCCACAAAACATGCCATTACAACAAGAAAAACAAATTAAAATATAAAGGCCTCGTTTGGTATAGAGAATTGGAATGGAATGGAGAACCCTTTAGATGTATTTTGAAGGTAGCGGATAATTACGGCCATGCATTGATATTGTCCCCACCTTAACCACCTAGGCCCAATCCCTTGGCTGATATCAAGCCCAATGGACCTCAAGTGTGGGTTTTATCTCAAAAGGCCTCGGTGCAATTAGAAGTGGAACACCTAAATTTAAACCTTAGATTATTGTTGTCCTTCTTGGATGCGGGACTCTCTTCCCACCCATCTTGGCTTGTATCAAGCCAGCCTTTCGCACCAACAAACTTCTCCCTTCTAATCCTGGGGAGGATTGGAAATGATAACATTTCTTCTTGAGTAATCTTTCTCCTACCCCCAAGTTGGCCACAAACCTTACATTTCTTCTTTCAGCATGCCTTGAAAATAGTGACTTATCCGTTCCAATCCAATAACACGGCCATAGTTTCATATAAAACTTACTTTCCGAATCAAAGCCACAAAATGCTTAGCAGTCTTTGAAAGGGAGAAACATAACAAATCTTCAAAATTAACAACATGAAATCATTTATCTATTACTGTTTTATAAATGGACACCCAAGCAACCTTGATCATGAAAATGACAAAATGTGCTTTACTACCACATGTCTTAATGGCACACAAACACAATCCAGAATTACCATATGCTGTATAGTATCATATAAAAATGTCAGAATGGTCTAACAAGGAATTCACTTTTCTCCAACCACTGTAACACTTAAGAACTATTCCAAATCACATCCAGGTCATCACCAAATCCACTTTCTAACATGAGCATCAGAGGGTAAAAAAATAGAGAACATTTAGGTCCACCCAAGCAAGGGATAAACAATGTCCCTTAGCCAAAGATTAATTAACCATGTCCCGATAAAAGAATAACCTTCTATATAGTGAATTAGATTATAGTACTATAGTACAGTCACCTACCAAAGGCCCCCAACCTAGAAGAGTAATCCCAATGGTAACAGAAAATGCAGCTAACCCTACATGCCTTGTTATAGTGAAAAGAAAAGAAATCTTCAGCTTGAGACGAAAATCAGGGAGAAGAAAGATAGAATACTTCTTAGAGCCGTCTATCCAGCTTTTTGGGTAGAAAACCACTTTAATACCGAGTGATAGATTTTAAGTGTGCTTGGTTGTTAAAAAAACTCATTTTGTAGAACAGTGCTATAGCATCAATTGCGAACTCAATCTACCCTTTATACCAATTACTCCATTTCAGTCCCCTTTTGCTGTATCTATAGACACATGTGGGCAAGTACATTGAAGCTTTAAGATACAAGCATGGTCGCAAAATCTTCCATGCAGCCACAATGAGAACTACTATATATTCTATGATTCATGAATTACATAGTCCACCACTTATATAATGTTTGACCTAATTCAATCCAAGCTGATTGTATAAAATTTATCTTCACAGTGACCATAGGATTCAAAGTATCAGCAGTTTATAATCATCCAAATTCTTCCAGAATTGAACTATACTAAATAGCAAAGTCATGCTGTGCCAATAGCATGTAAGATGTATAAAGAGCAGGAGCAGGATTATAGCTTATGAAAGTACCTACCCCAACGAAGGTGCATATTAAGGAAAAAATAAAATATTTACTATTATTGACAACTTTACAGTTGACAATGCTAATTGAACCAATAAAAATCCACAAATTACTCAACCAACATTCCTATCTTTAACAGTTGCAAATATAACATTGATGTAAAACATATGATGGACCCGTAAGATGTTTCACCTGAACGTATCATGTCAGATAATTAGGATAATGTCACTGAATACAGCCTCTAAGAAGTCTACACAGTATTTTGTTCCTATGGATAAATAAGGGCAGGCTCAGTTCAGGACAAACCTGAATTTGCTGGATTCCTGTCAGATCCTTACAGAAATCACTCAAGAGTTGGTTGCATGTTGGTCTCACATAAGTCTGAAAACATGCTTCCAGTTGGCCTGTCATGCTACTCACTATCACAGATGGAAACTCGATTATCTCTTGAGGATGGGGATTTCTATCCTTATCGCAGGTAGCCTCAAAGTCTATTACCACAAAATACTGAAAGTCTTGGAACTGGAAGTCATTTGGGTAACTTTGAGCAAACATATTGAATGGAACATAATGAAATCGATTTTCCATGGGAAAGGGATAAAACTGGCTCTCAAAAGCATTCATCTGGTACTGTTGCACCTTTTGAGAGTCATTATGGAAAGTTGACCAGTATCCAAAATCATGATGGTAGGTAGGTTTGTTGTAACATCCAGTTGGAGGTTCAAGAAATTCGCTGCCCAATGGACAGTCTGATTCAGGAACATCCCCAACTGGATGATTACTAGTTTCATCTTTAAGCTCTGGAAATCCTTCAATGGGATTCCCATTACACTTGAGGTTGTACGGGAATCCCTTGTGGAGGCATTTTAGGGAAGCCTCGCAGGTCCTTTCCATATCTTCTGCAACAGGAAAGAAAGAAAATGAGACGAAACACAAACCCATGTCAATGGATAACTGGCATAAACCACCACAGATCAAACAACAAAGAATAGACAAGAGTTTAAAGTGTTTGCAGAACAACATGCAGTATTGCAACCAAATTAAAGCAACTATAACTTTACAGATCACATTTTTTGTGTACTTTAGTAGAAACAATGTACAACTCCAAGAAAAAGAGGTTTAAGATGCAAATGGTTAATTGGCCACCATCCATCATCAACATCCAAGAACACAAGGTCCAATCTTTCAGAATGAGGAGAAACCTGCTCTACTGGGTTCAGAGTCCTCTTCAAAGGTCAAATATTTAAATTTCGATCAAATTGTAACATGTAAAGCTGCTAAACTGAAAGAACAACTTTTACTAATATCCTAAACAAATGAGACGAAAGCAAGCAACATAAGTTGCAGTGCGGAGGAGAACAACTAGGTTTTGTGAAACTTCCATCAACTTTCAATGTCTAAAAAACAGACAAGAATAACAGAGGCAGGAAAGAGAAAGGAGAACTTCATCTCTCAGGATACCTAGCTTTTTCTTTTTTGCTCTTTATTATTTGCTATTTACGCCTACACTCAGTATAGAATTTCTGGCCAGGTACACTGCCACAGAAGGAATTGGGTCGAGGGAAGAGCTGGGTTGCTACAGAGACCGGCAAAGGGTATGTCCTAATTGAAAAAAATGAATAACACAAAGAAAAATAGTTTCAGCATCAACTGCACTCATTTCTATTTGTCTTCTTTTTTCAATTATTAGTACACAAGCTTCAAGGGGTCAATGAATTTCCAAGCCACTATGTTGTCATCGGTTATACTAAACCTCATTATTTCATAAGAAAATCTAATACACTAAAATACCAAAAAATTAATTGGTGGGTTTCTCTCAAAGAAAGTACAACTGCGATGGAACCTTGATCACAAAAAAATTCTCCCCCCATTGGACTTACACATAGCAACTGAATTGTACAATTACAACTAAAATTGAAGGAACCTACCCCTAAAAGTTTTTTCCCGATCATTTTCTATGTTTAGATAAGATGAAGAAGATGTGGGTTAGGCCAACGGTCAGGGCAGTGAATCTGTCACTTGCATGGTTGTCAACAAAAAAGAGGGCAAGATGAAAGTTTCATTGCTGTCTGAATTTAAAACAAACCGATCAGCATTGGCATCTCAATTCAAAACTAGAAATATCACGGCGACAATATGCTACGACATTCATCCCCCTATAAATTCAGAGGCTACAATTCTAAACACTCCCAACAGCCCAGAACACCATACCCCATTATCAAAAGACTTCTACTTTACCCCAATTGCATCCAGTCAACCTAAATTAAATCATACAACACCAACCAAACTGCTCTCAAACACTCCAAAAACACAAAAAAGATTTAAAGCCCACCAGAAAAACAAATTAATTATACCATAATTCTCCATCAAAATTCAATTCGACAAGCACAAAGTTCACAATGAGAATTGAAGCAGTAACTGTGAGATCAAATTTCTTAAAAAAATCAAAAGTTCAATCGAATTTCCCACTAAAAAAAATTGTAAAATCGAACCTGTTTGTTCAAGGGCCATCATGATCTTGTGTGTAGTTGAGATCCACCAGCAAGTACATCAGATCTTCGCCTGCAATTCCCACCTACACCAATCCAAAATAACCCCAAAAAAAATTATCCAAATTAAACCCAAAATTAAATAACCCAAATTAAGCCAAAAATTAAATAAAAATCTAGAGGGAGAAAGTACCTGGTTAGATTAGAGAGAGAAAAGTACCTGGTCTCATACGTAGTTTTGAAGATGAAAAGTATTGGGGAGATGATTGGGGCCCACGTATAAACTGCCACGTGTTATGCTGCGAATGTGGGTCCGGAAGAGGTTCTTAAGGATCTCTCAATCTTATTCGTTCATCGTATATTGTACGGTTAATTTTCGTTAGATAAAATTTATGTTTAATTTTAAATTAAAAAGATAAATAATTTATGACTACACGGTATATGATGAATGATTAAGATGTGGAAATCCTTAAAAATCCCCACAAAGTGGATCAGAAATCCAATTCGAATCTTTTGAATCAAGTAATTCGGGTATTCCAAATTTCATCTAATGACCCATCTGTTTTGACCCTTTAAAAACTGTGATAATTTTTTACCGTTGAATAAAATTTAGAAGTCCCAGATCACTTGATCTGATGATATTGATAGTTGAGTCAGTACTATGAGAGAGACCTAGCGGGAGTGCCCACTAGATATTTTTCTGTTAGTGCGCTGTTGAGGAAAAATTTGTGGTGAGTCAATTCTGACCGTCGGATTGGCTTACTTTTTTAGATTGTGTGGATCGGTTTGACAATGACTTGATTGAGAATCTTGCGGTGTCTAAAAGGTGGGACCTCTTGTGGATAAACTATCTGTACAATTCTCCAAAATTGCCCTTAAAATAAACTAAAATTCTACTTCGACCCCTATATTAAAAAGATCATAGCAAAATATTTTTAAATTTAACATGGAGAGTTAAAAAAAAAAAATTGGTAAAGAATAAGTAAATTTTTTTTTTTTTGGTAGAGCGGTAATTTTAATGAATGAAAAAGTTAGTTGTTAGAGAAAAGAGAATTGAAAACATAGTTAAATGCATAGACATAATTATTTTCCGTCACTGCGATAAAATCCTATATGCAAAGTAAAGTAGTTAATGCAGTTTGGGTGGAGTTTCATTTTGGTCCACATTGTTTCAACAATTGCAATTTAGGCTTATCATTTGCTAGTTGTTGAAATTTAGGTAATTGCAAGTCTCGTGGATGACAATTTCAACACCGAATGCTTGATTTCGGATGAAATAAATGAAAACTTAGCCAATAGCCATTCAGAGGAGCTCAATTTGTAAGACGTAACTGGTTGTGTGCTTTACACTATTGAACAGACTCCGCAAGGAAATAATACAAACTAGAAAAATCTTCAGAACAAAAATTAGAGTGAAACAACATGGCAATGCAAAACTAAATTGCTTTAAGTGAGCCGATCTTAGGCTTGGATCATTATACCAATGTCGACTGAGGCCAAATTGCATTTTCAACAATCAGGATCAACTCCAACAGTTTATCGGGAAATCGCAGTGTTGAGAGAAGTACGGACAATCAGGGTCCCAAATTTTGATCATCAAACTAACCTAGATTAAAAATTTGAACAGGCCAATTACGTTTCTGACCATGAGGATCAACTCCAGCAGTTTCTAAGGAAATGTCAATGTCACGATGATGGGAAGCACGAGCAATGCTTATTCAAAGAAGAATTCTTGCAGCTGGACAAGCTTCAGTACCAACTGCTGCTGATCCGTCAACATTAGATTTTCCTGATGTCACATCAATTGGTTCCCTTGAATGTCAAGATCGTTTGTTGCCAGTGCGTTTTGGGAGTATACGAGGATGTTGACAGAACAGCCAGCACTTCTTTGCAGAACCTGCTGGTAAAACCAGTCTCAAACCACAACACAACTCCAAAACACCAGGTTGTTTCAGATTCCACATTAGTTAAGCTGCTAGCTGGACCGCTGAAGTTTGGTTCCAACTCAACACTTGCAATAAAATCGACTTCATCCGGCTTCATTGTCACCAAGTCAAAGCTCTGTGAAACAAAATCAAAGATAATCATTGCCCACCAAATTAGAGTCACTGGTCTGCACATATAGTCCAAAACCAATTGAAGACCTGATACATTGTGATATGCACACATATCACAAAATTTAATACTTGCACAACACCAACCTGGAGAACAGCAGCATTGGTTACTAAACCATGATCATCCAATAGGGATTTGGGCTGCACCTTCAACAAGTTCATTGCCAACAGAAGACATGTTGAAACCATACACATTTTCCCAAAATGGAAGACCGGTAGCTCCTTTTCCAAATCCTGCAACAAACTAAGAAAAAAAGGGAAAATTTGAATCGAAAAAACAAAAGAACAAAGTAACCCTAAGAACAACATATGGAGACGTATGTGAAGAACTGAAAAGATAGAGGCTAGAATGACAACTCACAATAGTTGTTGTATCAGGAAGCATGGCACCTCCAGGTTTTAACCACCGATCCCGTGCATAAAGCACTGAACTGAGCATTGCCTCATAAAGTAGGCAGTACCCTATCCATTCACTCAGTAATACATCAACGCTATGAGGTTCAAATTCGATTAGTATGGATTTATCAAGCTCCTTAACCATACCTTAAACCACTTCAACTACCCTGGTGCTATGGTTAGTAATATCACCAAGACTCTTACTCCGCAAAAGACCATTATCTTTCGCAATCTGTAAATTGTCATTAGCAAACCCAACTAAGTACTAACAACAAGCTGTGTCAGGAGTCCTAGTACATGAAATGCTTTTAAGAGAACTGGGAAATTTTACCCAAGTTGCCACGGAAGCCATTTTCTCACTTGCTTCAATTGCAATCACCTTTGAAGCACCCGCTTGGGCTGCAAAGAGACTATTATGGGGAAATGATTAAGTTAAGATGAGCAATGTTTGTAGTTAAGTAATGGAACATAGAGAATAATGACAATGATTACACTTTAGATAGTCATTGCCTAAAATTAACATCTGCAGATTGGCTATTTGACAAACGTTGTATTTTCTTGATCACATGTCATGAAAAATACACATGAAAACTAGTAAATGGCTTGCACAAATCAATGTTGAATTGATAGATAAAATACGAAAGTAGTAACAAGTTAACAACCCGTATAGCATTGTTTAACGTACTCTGCAATCTTAAGTATTTAAATTTAAACTATAGTATTTGTACACATTTCTAGAGAGAACCCAATACAGGGCTCTGCAAAGTCAAACCATACAAAGCAGTGTCCTGCAAAGTCACACTCCTAAATGTTAATGGCAGGGCCTCAAATGTTTTCCTATTCAAAGGTTTTTACTCTTTCTACTTTTTCTTTCCCTCACTATTCAAATATGGCTAAAGGAGATCCAAGAAGTTATTATTCCATGTTAATGTTTTTTCTAGAGACATCTTCAACTGATCATATCAGAGACATCTAAGTTTCCAGTCCTTACAACTATTCAAATGCAACAAGCAATCTTGTATTTAACAAGATTCATGGGTAAGACAGTCAAACCAATAAAGCATAGTAATCTCAACAAAAACAAAGAAGTACAGAGAAAAACCGCCTCTTTGACAAAACCAGCCGTAAGTAACAAATCCCATGCAAAGTTTGTTTTGGTTTTAAATGAATTCTAGATAAAACCATAATTTTCTACCCGAGCACGGACATTGAGTATTTAACAATACAAAGATGTGTCTACCCATTACAAGGGAAAGGCTCTAATTTTCCATCTAATAAGTACATTCCAACAAAAATCACCCCTCTTTGTTGTTATCATTCCCATGGAGGTCCAATTAGAATCAGGATAAAATTATTCACACTTTTTACATCATCTGTGAATACACAAACCTACTCTCGGAAGTGAGCAATTTCCCGATAATAACAGTTTTGAATTAAAACCACTAGAAATGTTACAACATGGATACAGGAATGTTTTTCATGACATCACTGGTTTGCATTGGCATTTGCACCAAGATTAGATCCATAATGAAGTGCAGAATCAGAAAGAATCAACTAATTGTTACATCCATAAGAAAGCAACTAAGTCTCACCTAAGTATATCTGTGCCGCAACCTACATCCATCACTATTGCACTCTTGAAGAGAAAGGGATTCCTTAAAATAGTTTGTCTGTAAGCATCCATTCTTGCCTGCATAATGACAACTAAGAGTCTAAATCAAACTACAATACCAACAGAAACAGGTTTTTCATTTCAAACTTTCTTCTACCAGGACATATAGATTAACTTAATACCTTATCACTAAGCATCTCTCTGTGAATGCCAAATGAACTGTAAGCGCCAAAGTAATCATCATTAACGTTCTTGATATCCTTTGAACCATGATATGGAATATAAGCTCTTAAAATCTCTTCTTTTTTCTTTCTATCAGCTGACCCAACATGTTCTCCTGAATCCAAACCATTGATGGTCACCTTTCCAGGAGAACTTGCATTGTTCGAGAAGCCATTGAATGATGAAGCAACATTTTTCCCACTTTCATTAGAGGTATCATAATCAATAGCGATCTTTGGTACATGAATATCATGATCAATACAGATCTCTTCAAACTGCCTCAAATCACTAATAAGTTCATCCTTGTCAACTGCTGCAGCATAGACATCTTCACCTTCTTCATCTTCACCAAAGCTATACAAGACCGAATCGTCTTGCAAGAACGGTTTTAGATACTCATCACTATCCCATTCAGGTGTAACATCTTTGAAATCAGTTGTTTCATGCAAATGATTCTGTAGATCTTGGTTGGACTGACAAGTTTGCCCACAACTCCAACATCTGTTTTCCGCAACCTGGAAACAAATGGAATCAGCTGAAGATACGAAAAGGAAACACTTTGCTCTGCACATTAACATTCAAATTCGAAAATTCCTAACGACCTTAAAAAAAAATAATAATAATAAAACACAATGAATACCAACAAACGAAGGCAAAATGAGTAAACTTTTTAAAAGATTAAAAATGCCATTCAAACATTAAAACAAATTCAGCCAACTACGGGCTCATTTGGGAAGTGGGTTTAAATGAATAAAAGTGCTTTTAGAGAAAATGTATTTCTCTAAAATCGCTTTCAGTCATTTAGCCCATTTTGGTCATTTCATGTTATGCAGAGCACAAGGACTGGAAGATTGCTCTTTTTAACCCATTTCTCATTAGTATCCTAACACTAATCAAAACAGTGGATTTAACTTCACATTAGATAAAGAAACAAACTTTAATTTTGGACTTCTTAGCATTTGTCACCAAAGATACTACCCGATAAAATCAAATTCTTCAAACTTCTCTTACTCAAACAAATCAAAACCGAAAGCGAAAGAACTCCACAAACAACGGTAATCCAGTCCCATTACTACATTCTAGCTCAAAAAATTTTAATTTTTTTCATTCCCTTTGTCTGTCTGTCAGCTCAGTGACTGACCTGAGAGAGAACGAAGTTAATGAGCTTGAAGGAGCCGTAGAAATTCAGACACAGCGCTTTCCGAACGGCGCGAAAGTCAAAACGGTGGGTCGAAGTGCAGTGGTCGAAGAGGTGGTCGTAGGAACTGTACCTGGAGTCGCAGAACAAGCACAGGAAGTCCGAGCCCTCTTCTTCTTCTTCGTCTTCGTCTTCTGGTTCTGCATTCCAATCGCTCCAGTCTTGGAGCTCTTCGGATTCTTCATCGTCGTCGTCGTTTGCTGTGAATGTGGGTTCGTACTCGATGCCGTTCTTTCCCATGACGAATTTGAGAGAGAGATTGGAATGTATTTCTTCATTTTGAACCTTAAACCCTCTATAAACCCTACTAACCTGCGTTTTTAATTTGAAAATTTGGTGGATTTGCCACCGGCTCTAACTTATTGCAAACGTACCCCTCTTTTAAAATGTTTGCACCATTTCACATATACCACCAATGAACAAGTTCGAGTTAATTACACTTTGAACCATCGTTGTTTTGTTCTTCTAACAGTTTGGTCCCAAACTTTTGAAAATTGGCAAAATATAATCCATAATGATATGTTGTAAAGATGTTGCGAATGGCCAAACTAAAGTGAGCAGTCAAGTACGGCTGATGGAGAATACAAGTCAAAGTTATATGGCTTACAACAAGTGACCCTCTACCACGGTGATGAAGATAAGTATTGTCTTTATGTCACGGCGTGGGTTCGAATATCGTCGACTTTTTATTCTAACAAATTTATAGTTTGACCAAATAAATAAATAAAAATTTACATGACTTGCATAGCAGAAGTTTGGTTTTTATGACGGATGAAGATTTGTATCATATGTTCAAATCAAAAAGAAGAAAAGAAGAAAGTAATAATACTGGTTCCTTCACTCTCCTCTTTTAACCTCATTTAATTAAACTGATACTAGTAAAGAAAATAAACAAAGTTAACAAAAAATCTCACTCTTTTATTTATTTATAACACATTATCAGCATGACATTCTAACTTGAATGATTAGGTGCCGGGCACGTAGACCATGCGGGCCCCACACAAGAAGAGTGTTGGACCTCAATGATTAGGTGAAGGCGAGCATGAAATGCCTCGTTTCTACAACCCAGATTATAAAGTCATTGCCATCTAATGGTGGCGTGCACTCAGGTTTTGATCTAGTGTGGCACGCCAAACTACATTAGTTTCCAACAATTTTTATCCGAAGGTTCAAATTCAATTTAATCAATTTTAACGGTAATAAAAAAATATACAACCGCTCAAATGTAAATCCAACGGTCAAAATAATATTATTAATTAATCCAAATCAGATCCATTATCCAAAACTCTATAATACACATCCATTTGTTCACTAATCAATAAAAGAATTTCTTCTCTTGGGAATTTGAATTTTTTTTACATCAAAATGTTCATAAAATAAAACAAGCTAGATTATACAAAAATTATTTCTAAAATTATTAGAAAAAAAAAAGAAATACAAAAATTTAACAAATTATAAAATTAAAGTTGGAAATTATAAGTGTCCAATCTCATACGTATATGACACACCCCGACCGAAATCAAGGTGTGAGCTTTTCAAAACCATTTCAATTATCAAAGATAGTAACCACTCGCCGTAAAACTTGTATAATTTCCCAGAAAATAGAATACATCTGTATATCAAAACCATGCTCAGAATAGCAAAATCCACATATATGCCATGTCGAATATCTCAGTGTAAAAATATGTAAGCCAGGTGATAAAAATCAATGCAAATGATATGTCAGCCGAAGTCACTTAACGTGACCTGTACGGCTGAATCTAGAGCTCATCCATCTAGCAAAAAAAAACAAAAGCCCACTCACACTTTTTGTTTTGCGCCATTCCAGGTTCTAGTTAGGAGTGTTTTTTGATGGCTTGCGAGGAATCCACGATAGCTTTGATAGATTATCACTATTGTAGGATTACCTTTGGTGTTGTATAATTAGTATTCGTCTTGTTGGACTACACTTAGGCTACTTATGCTCTGGTTGTGAATTCACACTTATTTCGTCTTGCACCTTATCTTATCTAGTGCTTTGATACCAAACTGACACACCCCGACTAAACTTAAGATGTGACAGCTAGCACACCCTAATTTCGATCATGGTGTGTCATATAAGTGAATAGTGCAAAAATACGAGGCTAAATTTTGTGATTTTAGCTTTGGGTTAGAGATAGCCTAAATAACCAAAAAAATAAAAAGGTTTAGGTTGCAAGTAGCCAAAATAGTTCATGTTGTAAGTAACAGAAAAGGTTCGAAATAAAGGAAAGTTTTCAAATGCCAAAAACCGCTAGGGTTTTGAATTCTACAGTGTAAGTTATTCACCGTCGACGTCGACCATGATTCCGGTCTGCAATTTCAAGAACCTTCGATTAGGGTTTTCAACATTTTCTTCTACATTTGCTTCCAAATATGTAAAACCCTCACACTTCCTTCTTCATATTCAGATACTCTGCAGACAGTTGACCTCAAAAATCCCAGAAACCCACCACAGTTTCACAGTCAATTACCTCATAAACTCATGTGGGCTGTCCCCAGAAGGTGCGATTTCAGCATCTAAGTGGGTCGAGTTGCGATCCCCCAAAATTGCAGACTCCTTTCTGTCCTTCCTCAGAAACCATGGATTCTCTGCAACCCAGATCTCGAAGGTGGTCAGGTCCTGCCCACAACTTCTTTACTCCAATCCGGAGAAAACCCTTTTGCCAAAGCTTGAATTTTTCAGGTCGATTGGAGTTTCAAGGGAGGCCCTTGCAAAAACTCTCGCACATAATCCACAGATTTTGGCTATGAGCTTGGAGAAGCGGATTACACCCACTTATAATTTCCTTAGGAGTATCATTTCTGAGAAGAACTTCGTTGCCTTTTTGAAGGGCGGTTCGCAGATTTTCTTGGAAGGGCATTCGAAGAATGTGGCACCAAATATTGAAATTTTGAGAGAATTAGGTATGCCCCAATCACGTATTTCTCTGTTGCTAACTCATTTTCCTACCTGTTTATTACGAAAGCCTGAGGATGTTGGCAGAGTTGTGGATGAGGTTAAGCAAATGGGCTTTAATCTGGAAAAATCAATGTCTGTGATGGCAATAAAAGCGTTGTGTAGTAGTAATAGTAAGTCCATATGGAATCGTAATTCAGAAGCTTATAAGAGGTGGGGTTGGTCTGAGGATGATGTTCTCACTGCTTTCAGGCAGTTCCTGCAGTGTATGACTAAGTCGGAGAAGAAAATAGCGCAAGTAATGGAATTGTTATTGAACAAGATGGGATGGCCGCTAAGAATGATTACCAAGTACCCGGTGGTCATGAGTTTTAGTTTGGAGAAGAGAATTATCCCAAGATGTAAGGTTGTAAAAGTTTTGCGGTTGAAGGGATTGGTAAATATTGAAAACCTGAGTTTGAGTACCGTGTTCCTACCAACGGAGAAGAAGTTCTTGGACAGATTTGTGACCAGATATCTCCACCAAGTACCTCAAATTGTGAGTGTGTATCATGGAAATGTTCGTATCCAGGGTGTGTGATCTCCATTCATATTTTGCTGGAGCAGATTCACTTGGTTGCCAGTGGCTGAAAATATAAATTCGTTGGTTGGTCTTTCACTTCTCCGCTGCCTAGCTGCTTTAATTGTATATTCTATCATATTAGAACACCAGCTTGGCTTTTGTTGGTATGGAAAAATGCTTTTGAACATAGTCTTGCTTCTATTGGTGTTTAACTATTTAAGAGAGGAGTGAAAAAAACCTTTTTGTTTCGTCTATTCAGATCAAAGGTATCCATTCATACCAAAAGAAACAAATGCGCACAAACACACACATAGCTCATGGCTATTGATGGTCTATGTAATGAAGAGTCATTTCTTTTATCGTTTGTCACTGGGGATGAATAAATCTATTTTAACATGTCTGAGTACGTTCTTATCTAAAGAGTGGTATGCTGTTACAACGTTACTTGTTTATTGTTTCAACTCTGTAAGAAAAACATGTTCAATAAACTTAAAATTCTCTTTCAAATAGTATATAAAGAGCTACAGGTCATGAATGAGTGCTTATTTGATTTTCCCGTTGTTAGACTGTGCTGTACTTACAATAAATGAAGAATAAAATACTTTGTAAGCCCCTCAGTTTTTTTTAGGAGCCTATGATGCTGGATTTGTAGGACTTGCAGGTTTTCTTCATGCTGTGAAGCTACCTTCTCTACTGAAGGTAACTTAGCGGTTTGCCCTAATTGTTTTGGAGGAAAAACTAAGGTGGTTTTTTGTTTTGGCAGTGGAATGGGGTGGAATGAAGTGTGTTTTTTTCGCTTTGTGAAGATTCTTTGTTTCTAGGCTCTTCTTCTTCCATGTCATCCAGAGAGTAATTCCTTTCACTTTTCCTGAACCATGGTGTTCATACAGTACTCTTCTCCCCAGCGGATTTTCATATTTAACAAGTATTGTATTTATAATTTAATACACTTGTACAGCACCACCAAGCTATATTTGCATGTCAGTGAATACGATATGATTCAGAATCCTGATTTTTTGCAGCTCTTTATCAATTTTCTGGCATTACTGTGACAATTGATTAGTAGATTCAATCTAGCCGACATATCATACTGCATTTGAAGATTTTTTTGTAGGGGGTGAGTTGCCTTCATAATCTGGAGTGTCCTAATAAGCTGAGTTGCTTTCGGGTTGGAACTTAAAAGGTCTTTAAGGAGTGTCCTAAACCCTAAATAAAAGCATACATCATTTGAGTTGGTTGCTTTTATAGTACATATTACTACTAGTTTGCTTGTATATGGTGCCCTCAGCCTGTATTGACAAGGCTATCTACTTGCAGGTGTGGGTAGTATGTTCATAGCGAGGCTACAGAAGGCGAGCGAGGGCATCCTAGTCTATTGGTTACTGGTAAGCTATTATAATTGTACCTTAGACGTGGATTCAAGTCTTATACACTTCAATTATCTCCATCCTAATTAATCGGTTGTATGAATCCCAAAATGTCACTGGGGTCGGTTTTAAGCCAAGCTTTCCTCAAAAGAAATTCAAAGTAAATTCCAAAATGTTGTGTGAAATTCCTTTGTATTTTGGTGGGTGCACGCACGGACGCATGTATGTGGCAGTTAATGTGCACATTAGGGTTTTGGATTGGAAAGCCAACCATGTTATAAAACCCAATAGGACAATGCAATGTTTAATGTGACTGAAACGTTTATACATGTGAATATATATATATACATATATATATATATTATTGTATTGTATAGCAGGCTTAATGGGATCTTTATTTAAATTGTCTATGTTTTCAACAAACCATTTGTATGAGGCAGAAGATATATTTACATCTACATTCAATAAAATTTTAAAATTCTTCACCACTTTTTTTAGTGATAGGCTAACCTAAAAAACTGAACACGACCCGAATAAAACCGAACCCGATAATTCCAAACCGTTTGGTAACTGAAATCGAAACTTGTCGCAAGTTTTGGTATGGTATTTGGTTTCCATTAAGGGTTTGTTCGGTAAAATCGAACTAAACGGAAATAGGTTTTAATATAATTTAATATTTAGTTGAAGTAATACTAGTCGTTGGATTTTGTGAGATTGGATCTTAATTGTTCGTTTAAACTCAACTCTCTCTCTCTCAATCTCACCTCAGTATCTTAGCCCTTCTCTTGACTTCGACACCCTTTCCCTCGACCTCCCTACACTTTCTTCTCCGGTGTCATAACTTCGGCCACACCAAACTAGACCATAGTGACCACCAACCACACCCCACACCTCGCCCTCATTCGAACCGTAATTGCGAAAATCTTGAACTCAGACCTATCTCCTCTTCGCAAGCTTGAACCCAAAATCTTGAACCCGGACCTCTCTTTCCTTTTCACAATCTCAAACTCAACCACCACCATTAGTTTGTCGGTTGTCTCTCTCCCTCTCGTTCTAAACAATGGGCAACCACCACCCTTTCGTCATGCTCGTCTCTCTCCTTGAAAGTAAGTCTAAATACGAATTATGAAATTGTGAAATTAAGGATTTTGATTGTGAATTGGGATGAATTTTAGAATTTAGGTTTTTAATTTGGGATAAATTACTAAGGCATGGCATGAATTTCAGGGTTTAAAGATTTGTGAATGGGAATTAGGGTTTTAATTTTAAAATGAGGATTGAATTTTAGGGTTTTAATTTGGGATAAGTTATCAGGGAACGAGTTGAATTTCAGGTTTAAGAATTTCATTGTTGTTGTTTCTTGTTTGCAGTTTGAAGCAATTAGAATCCTCCAGAAATTTCTCATTCCTTTTTTTTTTTTTTTTTTTTTTCAATATCTCGTTATCGAACCAACCCGAATTACCAAAATTATTTCGGTTTTACCAATTTCGGGAAACCAAAAATTATGGTTTGGTTTTGGTATAGGTTTTCAATTTCCAAACTTGTTTAGTTCAGTTGCCAAACTGAACCCGGTTTCTCGAAATTTGGTAAAATCGAATAATTTTGGTAATTCGGGTCGATTCGGTAAAGATATTGAAATAAAGAAGGAATGAGAAGTTGTTGGAGGATTCAAATTGCTTCAAACTGCAAACAAGAAACAACAACAATGACATTCTTAAAACCTGAAATTCAGCTTGACACGTCTCGATCCCAATGTCCAGGGGACATCGGGATGGCCACGTGCTAGTCGACACCCGAGGGTGACGCAAACCATTTAATGAATGCATATGTCGAGAACATGTCAAACATGCATATAAATTTCGCGTGAATTACGCAATATAATATTCAAATGCAAACCTTACCAAAATAATTTAATAATATTCAAACGTCAAATAAATGATAATAATAATGCATGACATGTACGGAGCATATATCTAACTCAGAATACAAGCAAAAGTTGTTATTACAAGTGATGTCAAAGCAGAGAGGATGACACGATGTCACTGGTAGGGGAATGCCTTGTAGCTCGGATCGTATGCCTCGTTTTTATGTCCTGAGGGGAGCGCAAAACAAACATGAGTGGACCAAGTTGATATATAAGTAATACTGAAACAATTATTCATCAACGTACTAAATCCTAAAGTTTTATGAAAACTTAATAGTATAATATGTAATAGGTTCCGAAAACCCTAGCATGCCATAAAACCTTCAATAAAACATATATCATATATAGTGTGCTAAATAGTGGTATCAGTATCGTCCGAAGGCATAGAAAACTCTTTATTCGCCTGTAGGCTCCTACAGCATGCACCTAAAGGCATATAAGTATCAATCGCCCGTAGGCTCCTACAGCACCCACCCAAAGGTATATATATGTATCATTACCTGTAGGCAGAACAGTGACCAATAGATAAGCACAAAACATTGAATATAATTTTTCCATAATAAGTATATATTTCAACGGAGCTTAGTAGCTCAAACATCATATCTCAAAAATATCTTCGTAGTATATAGTCATTCATCATATATACTACAAAGAACATGAAAATTGACAAGGTATGGTATTCCAAAATATTCTCAGTAAAGCATGATATCTCATAAAGTGTAAATCTAATTTACTCATAAATGTTTCATAAAACATAACCACTAAATCATGCTTTTCATATTTGCATTTCTAATATTAAAATATGCATTTTAGAAAGGGTCCACCCACAAATACTCCTTCATCGAAGAGTTGTGTGAAATAGGTAAGACGGAAATGTCGCTAATAATCGCACCTAAGCACATAAATGGTTCAATTAATAAAACTCTACCATAACCATTGAATTTCGAAAAAATGAGACGTTGAAAAACATAAGGAGGGACCTTGGGTACCCCTACGAGCCGTCGTAAGGTGGTGGCCCTGACGACCACACTCGACCTCACGCGCAGCCGAAAAGTTAGTCGAAAAAGTCGCCGGTTCTGCCGTGATCGCTGCCATGGATAGCAGTGTGTGTGCTTCACGCGCCCATGCGTGGCCTGGGTTCCTAGGATCCGATTGGGTTGGGCCGGATCTGGGCTTGGGCCTATTGGGTTTGGGTTTGGATTCGGGTTCGAGTTCAACAGGCCGAATGCTCGAGTTTGCACGGCCCGAAGGTCTGGTTTCATTTGGGTTTTGGGTTGAGTTAGGTTTGGGCTTAAAGGTTATTAAGTTAGATTTCACATAAGTTGGGGCTTGAAAGCCTGGCCCAAGGGTTTGGGCCCAAAGGACCTGGGTTGCCGAGTTTGGGTCGTTTGACTCGGTTTCAACGAAGAAGGAGGCCGAAGTTTCCCGAGCTCCGTTCAACTCCGATTCTCAACCCTAAGGTGCAATTTAACTACCAAATTGAAGTGCAGGACGATAGGAAGAGTTTCGTACCTATATCATGCCGTGAGGTGGCCGGAGTCGGTCGGATTTTGGCTTGAAAGCCACGGGGCTTGCTGAAGAAGTTTTCTAGGTTTTCTTGGGCTTCACAAAGGGGGGAGAGAGAGAGAGGTACCCAACACGGTGGGCGTGGTGGTGTCATTTCCACTGTCGTTGACTCAGTTTTGGGTGTGTGTGTAAATCAGGGAGAGGGAAAGAGGGTTGGTGTGATAGAGAAAGAGTGAACTGAGAGAGAGCTTGGGGGAGATAATAGATAAGGAGATATGAGGTGGGGGTGGTGCCACGTGGCAAGCAGAGAGAAAGAGGGAGAGAGTTATAAAATAATAACAAAAAATCTAAAAAAGGAAGGCGATTCAGATAGGGTAGGAGGATAAAGGGCATAATGGTAATTTCCTAATTTCGTTAATATGAAATTACACATAATTTGGGATGGGGTTTCACACAGCTCGTTCCCTAATAACTTATCCCAAATTAAAATCCTGAAATTCAATCCCCATTTCAAAATTAGAACCCTAATTCCCATTCACAAATTTTTAAACCTTGAAATCCATCGCATGCCCTAGCAATTTATCCCATATTAAAACCCTAAATTCTAAAATTCATCCCAATTCAAATCAAAATCCTTAATTTCACAATTTCATAATTCGTAATTAGACTTAATTTGAAAAAGAGAGACGAGCATTATGAAGTGGTGGTGGTTGCTTGCTGTTGAGAACATGAGGGAGAGAGACAACCAACGGATTGGTGGTGTTGCCTCGGTTCGAGATTGCAAAAATGAGAGAGAGGTATGGGTTCAAGATTTTGGGTTCAAGCTCGCAAAGAGGAGGGAGAGGTTTGGGTTTAAGATTTTCGTGATTGCAATGCAATTGAAGACAATGTGTAGTCTGGTCTGGTGTGGTCGGCGTTATGACACTGGAGAAGAAAGTGAAGGGAGGTCGAGAGAGAGGGTGTCAAAGTCAAGAGAGAGAGGGGTGAGATCGGGAGCGAGAGTTGAGTTTAAACGAATGGTTGAGATCCAATCTCAACAAAATCCAACAGCTAATATTAATTCAATTAAATATAAAGTTATAATAAAAACTATTTAAGTTCGGTTCGATTTTACCAAACAGACCCTTAATGAAAATCGAATACCATACCAAAACTTGCAATAAGTTTCGGTTTTAGTTACCGAACAATTTGGAATTATCAAGTTTGGTTTTATTTGGGTTGGGTTCAGTTTTTTTTGGGTATTTTTCCAGCCCTAGTCACTAGTAAAGTAGTATAGAATTTTACCATTTTACTGAATGTAGATGTGAGAATATCTTCTGCTTCACTCATAATCTATTATACAAATGGTTTGTTGAAACAATGAGTGGCTTCCATTTAGTTGAGAATGGTCCTAGAGGTATACTATTAATTACCACACATGTATTCAGTTTGTGGCTTTCGCTTGTTGCTTTCACTTTCCTTTTTTATGAAATTTTAACTTTCACAAACAATGAATGGCTACCATTTAGTTGAGAATGGTCCCAGAGGTATACTATTAATTACCACACACACGTATTCAGTTGTGTATTGCTTTCACTTTCTTTTTTTTTTTCTTTCTAAAATTTTAACTTTCACAAACAATGAATGGCTTCCATTTAGTTGAGAATGGTCCCAGAGGTATACTATTAATTACCACACACGTATTCAGTTGTGGTTTTCGCTTATTGCTTTCACTTTCCTTTTTTCTGAAATTTTAACTTTCACAAACAATGAATGGCTTCCATTTAGTTGAGAATGGTCCCATAGGTATACTATTAATTATCACACACATATTCAATTGTGGCTGTTAACTGATGAGGTCGCAAAATCTTGACCTATTAATTGTCATTTTACTACTCTCAAATATCATGAAAATTTTGTACTTTGTTACCCTTAGATTTTTTCGTTGAATTTTGAAGTTTTATG